TTTGAAGAGAATCCTTATGAGGACACTTGGGAGTCAAACCAAGTAGCATATGATGCTATTCTTGCCGAAGATATGAATGACTATCTTCAAGGAGAATATGAAGATGCCAATGACTTTTGGCAACAGCTTGAAGAAGCATGGTTTTCCCACAAAGGAAAAGGAAAAGGCAAGAGAAAAGGCAAGAAAGGAAAAGGAAAAGATAAAGGAGATGGCAAACAAGATGCAAACTATGCAAACCAACAACAGCCACGTTCTTTATCTGCGCCTTCAAGAACTTCACAAGCATCAGGAAGCAACCAAGGTTTCTTTGCACATTGTGTGACAACAGAAGCTGAAGTCCATGACAGTGAGGTGGACTTGCTGTCAGGCATGATGACCTCATGTCAAGATGAAGCTGACTGTAAGGTCAACAATGGTGAGACGATCTTCGATGGCATGAGTGCCCCTGTGAGGTACTCTTTGTCAAAGGAGATGCTCACAGATGCTCCTGATGGCTTTGCGCTTATGAGCGCTGAGGAAGAAGTGAAGGAGATGCAGGCTATTTCATTTTTGACTGAGAATCGCTTCCCGCCAACTATTGCAATCCTGGACATTGGATGCACTAGAGCTATGGGATCAAGGCGTGCAGTCGATTACACCCAGACTGTGGACTATGGTACTCTTTTGAGTCTACCAAGAGCAAGTTTTACTTTGCCAATTCTCAGAAGGCTTCTTGCTCTCAGAAACTGGTGATTTACATGTATGATCGTGCATGGACGATCCACCATACAGAGTTTGACATAGTTGAAGAAAGAGAAGTCCCTTTGCTTATGAGCTTGCCACAGATGAGGAACTTAGGCTTTGAACTCAGGCTGACACCTCAACATGCTTACCTGACATCGGTGCCTCTTGGTATAAAATTTTTGGAGTTGAAGGTTGCAGCCAGTACTCATCTTGTTTTGGACTTCCAAGATATTGCATGGTATCTGTCTGACGTGCGTCAGCAGGCTCGGCGCGAGAAGAGCTTTTACTCTCACTTCACTCACTATGAATATGGCCATATTTCGGTTGATCACAATAGTGATGAAGATGAAGCTGAGCATGCATATCCTGTGGTTGACTACTGGGAAGTAGATCTTCACAAGAGAGAACTGACACGTCACCACAAGGATTACAGGAAGATTCTTTTCCCAGCAACTAAGTCCTGTCCTGTAGACACTGACTTGCTGGAAGACTTGCGACTGACAATCATCAAGAAGAAAGAAGGAGGAGAAGAGATCAAGAAGATAGATGATTGGCGCAAGGCAAAATGGAAGGACCTACAAATTGGCTATGAATGGCGTGGTAGAACAATTTTTAAGTTCAAGCCAGATGCCAAAATTCCAGATCTAAAGATCAGGAAGGCTGGCATTGAGCACCGTGGCATTGGTGATCCCGATGCAGTGGTGCGCTCCTCCTCAGAGAAGGTTCCCACTGCAAAGGACAGGGAACCAGGCTTCTCATCAGAGAAGGAAGGTGCACCATCCAGTGCCGCGGAAAAGCCCGTGCCGCCGAAGTTTCGGTATACTTCCAAGGGTTTTGATCCATTTTGGAAGGGACACAAGTCGAAACCATCTGAGCCTCCACAGGATTTAAAAGGTGATGATCCTGAGGGTTATACTCCTTCAGAACCACCTGAGAGGCCAGAAGGTGAACTTGTAGAAATTCCTGAAGCATCAAAAGGACCATCAAGTGATAAACATGAACCACTTGAACCAGGTGATGGCGCTCTTGAGCCTAGGCGGATTTCAACCCCATTACCTGGTAGTGAAGTTGTTGCAATGACACCGGCATATAGGAAGATGTTGCAGAGACTGGAGGACAAGGTAGAGCTTTATAAGCTTCATGTGAAGCACTACCATATGAGTCCTACTCAGTTTCGTAGACGTGTTTCTATGTTGAAGCTTCCTGACTCTGTTTTAGAGAAGTATGAATCAGTTGTCAGGAACTGCCGTGTTTGTAACACTTCAGTGGCACCTCCGCCACGAGCCAGAGTCTCCGGTATTAGAGCTTCATGTTTTGGTGATGTTGTTTTTGCTGATCATTGTGAGGTTGAACTTCGCAAGAACAAGTATATCATTCTACTTGTTCTTGATGGTGCCACAAATCTTCTCTGGGCTACGGCACAGAAAGACCTCATAGATCAAACCACCATCCAAGCATTGAGGCAGTGGTCTGATGAGAACAATTGTGTTCCGAAGGCCATCGTAGGAGACGAAGCCTTTTTCACAGATGCTTTTGTTGAATACTACAGGTTTCATGGTATAAAACAATGTCCTTGTGGACCAAGAACTCCTTGGCCGAACCGAGCAGAGACAGCTGTACGTTTGTTCAAAAGTATGTGGCATGTTATGAAGGTAGATCTGGATGACCCACGTTTTCGTGGTGTTACGGTCAGAGAAGTGGTCAAGAAGGTAGTGTGGGCAAGAAATTGTCAGTTGACTATCAGTGGATATTCACCAATAGAGATAGCAACTGGAAGACGTCCACCAGATCTTTTTGACCTTGAGACCGCAAGCCCTGAGCAATTGTCAGCTAGTGCAGCCGCACAAGATCGTACAAATCTGGAACTACAACGTGTAGCTTTGAGAGCTCATCAAGAAGCACGACAAGCTCAGGACCTTCGAGCAGATCTTGCAAGAAGAACTATGCCAAGTGACGGTCCATATTGTCAAGGTGAGAAGGTTTTTATTTGGACTCAGGATTCATCAAAGTTCAAGGATAAAGGACGTTGGGTTCGCGCCACAGTACTTGGACAAGGAAGGAGCTACGGTCCAAGCTAACACTGGTAAGGCAGTGGTACGTGTGAATCAGTCGAAGGTTAGACGAGATCACGATGAGTGGCATGATGTTTCCATACCGGCATTAGACGATGAGAATCCGGAGAACTTACGCGAAGATCACGAACTGTATGTTGATGCCGAATTTGGAGAACAGTCCTTTTTCTTTTGTAATGATGATCATCCTGATGTTGTTGAGTTACTTCATGGAAACAGTGGATTATCTTGGTTCCTTTCAAAGAATGGAGTTAGAGTTGCATCGCCTATGGATTTCAAGGCAGGATACAACTTTTCCACTCTGAAGGGTCAAGATGGTATTTGGCAGCAACTTGAGAGTTTGCAGCCCCACTGTATAGTAATCAACAACCCTTCTCCCAAACAGAACAGAGCTTCTATTTGGTTGCTATGTTGCAATGTGATTGAGTGGCAGTTGAGAAGGAAGAAACATGTGTTTGTGACTGTTCCCAAGGGAAACAAGTTTTGTCTGTTTTTGCAGAAGTTCATTTCGTCTTTGAAGAATTCGGTCTTTACTTTTGATGTGAATATGAATTGTTTCTGCTATTGTCCTAAAGGAATTAGTTACGTGACAGTCTTCCATTCCTATGCATCCTGCCAAGGATGGAAAGGTATTGGTGACTGTTCATTTCAAGCTAAAACAGTGCAAGCCACGAGAAGCAACCAGTATTTCAAGGATCCTGACTGGAAGAAGTTTCCATTTTCATTTCTGGTTGAGATGAATCGTTTTCTTCCTTATAGTGAGACTTCCGACAAGCGTCAGAATTTCCTTATTGAAGATCTTCTGGAGAATTATGACTCTGGAAGTTTGTGTGGAACAGCTCTTTTGTTAGAAAGAGAAGCTCATCAGTCAATTTTGTTGAATTCCGTAAGAACGGAAGAGACGACGGAAATTCCGGTTCCACTTCGACATATACTACCACAAAGGTTCACTACTACTGAACTGATCAGAACTTTGAGGCAGGTCGATGCACTACCTCAGAGATCAGAGTTTGATGTGACAACATCCTCTGATTCTCGAATTGTGTCATTGATTCCAGGCCTGAAGGAGATTAGACGAAGAACCTTGCCACAGATGTATTTTGAGAGATGTGAGGTTTATCGTGATACCTTTGGTAGAGTGCATCCTCTCTTCAACTCTGAAGATGATGCAGTGTTGACTATGTGGAAGCCAGGAAAATACCATCAGGTTTTCTTTATGTTTGTGTCACAACTGTCTCCTCATCATGAACAGTTTTTGGTAGATCATTGGAGCATGATCGTTTTCGAAGCAGAGACGACAGGCGCCGTGAAGCGCGTTGTGACTCCTGATGAAGTAGCTCTAGCTCTAGAGGATCCAAGGGATCAACCTCCAGACTATGGACCACCGATGGATGATGATATGGCTTATGAGCCAAATCCAGTCTCGGGGGAACAGCAGTATTTTGATCCAGATGATGAAGATATGAATCCGCCTGGTGATGGACCGGGTGGCAACCCTGATGATCATCAGGGTGGACAACCTCCGGGACCACCTCCGACAGGTCCCGCAGCTGTTCCGAAT